CATTTCATAACGCCACCAATTCAAATCACCATTTCATAAATCTCAAGACAAAAAGAAAGACGAAGAAAACTACTAAAATCTCATGGAAAAACCACAAAACTCGAAATTCATATATAAAAGCAAAGTTACACCGATTACATTGCATCGAGCGTCCATTCCTACCCAATAATCAGATCACATTTTCATGCAAATCAAGGTGAAATTTTGCAAAAAAAAAAATTAGAAAACCCACAATCTTTCTCAAATGGCTAAACTACACTTTTATTATATGATTCCCTCACTCGCATCTGTCAGATCTGATATCAAGATTTGCTGACAAAACTAATGGAACCTCTCCAACCTTCAGGATCTTTCTAACATCCAGGGCCTTTAGGCTCTCTCCAATTTTCATCCAAGAGTTGCCTAAACACCCCTCCAAAATTCGTCCTCATCCAATGCTTTGTAGGACATAATCGCCGAGCTCGCCGTCGGCGGGCCTTCTAAGTGAATTAATTCTGGAGTCTCGGGAAAAGTTCGTCGTCGGCGCCGTTGGGCTCGCCGTCGGCGCCCTAGTTCAATTGTTCACATTTTGGTTCTTTTCGCTCCAAATTCACTCTTTTTTGCATATTTTTGCTCCAATGACCACCCTAATTCATCATTTCTGCAACAAAACATCAAAAATACATTTTTTTAAAGTGTAATATCATGTAATATCATCAAAAACAATGTAAAATAGGTATGAAAATCTCAACATATTTTCCTTTAGTCAGATATCATCAGGTTCTACAGACTTTCCACCCTTGGTTTTCTTTAAAGCCTCCTCAAATTCTTTTTTACTAATGCGACAGTAAAAATGAAACGTTTTATTATTATTCATGATATTAAGGCCACTAAGATCGATCGTATTTTCAGAAACTTCATTAAAAATTTTATCAAAATAACTCTCCCATCTATGTTGAATATATTTTTCTAAGAATAGTACTTTTTTATTTTCATCTTTAATACACTTTACTTGAGTTAAATCTTTACTAATTTTTACAACTCTTCATCTTAAAATCTAAAATTAATAAATGATGTTGGGTACTTAAATTCTCACTTGGAATAACCTTGCAATCTTTACAATCTCGATGATCTCTTCTTCTCGTAAGAAAATAATCAATTTGCATTTTATTGGATCCACTCATATATGTAATAAGATGTTCATCTATTTTGTTGAATAAAATATTATTAATAACAAAATCATACGCTAAAGAAAAATCTAAAATAGCTCTACCTTCTTCATTAGTTACTCTAAGACCGTAGCCACCATGAGTATTTCTGAAGTCTTCTGCCACTCTACCGACATGTCCATTTAAATCTCCTCCAATAAAAATTCTTTCTTCAAGAGGTATCATTTGTTTTAAGTCTTCCAAGTCATTGCAAAATTTATCTTTAAACCTTGTATCTAAACGTAATTGAGGAGCATAAACAGTTATAATATTAAAAATCTCACTATCGATGATAATCTTAAAGACTATAATTCTATCTCCAATTCTATTAATTTTTACAATATTATATTTCAAACTATTATCTATAATTACACCTACACCATTGCTAGTGCGACTCTTATCAGAATACCAAAGTTTAAAACCTAAATTATCAATCTCCTTAGCCTTTTCTCCAACCCATTTAATTTCTTGAATACATAAGATATTAATTTTTTTTATGATCATAATATCAACTAATTCCATTAATTTACCATTGAGAGTACCTATATTCCAAGATCCTATTCTAATATTAGTTTCATAGACTAATTTCTTTACCCGCATTCATCCGTAATATGAGAACCCTTGCTTATTTGACACTACACTCGGGCGCCAGTGTAGAGGCCCTTGCACACTTTTCACTGTATTCAGGCTATACAGCGCGTCGCTTCCAAGGGATACCCTAACACTTACACAATGATCAAAATGATTCACCTAATGAATTTTTTTGACATGTTTTACGCTGGCTATCGAGTACCAAACGTAACCTTCCACTTTTCACATCCGAGTTTGGGACCGACAATGACAGTGTTTAAAATAAAATGAAAGTATGAGAGGGTTAAATATATTCGATCTACTATATAGAAAAAAAATGAATATTGATGAGGATATAATTTTTTAAAGTTAAGTCTTGGTGGAGAAATACCCTTTAAGCTATAACACCTAATTTCGAGAAATCAGGCAAAAAATTTGGCAATTTTAACCCAAATATCGCATCCCTCAGAATTTGACCTAATCAATTTTATAAAATTCTATATGTTGATTTGATCAATTTGATATAAAGCACCGTGCATGATTTTTTAATGTATGAGAAGATATTAAAATTATAAAGCAAAAGTTTAATTAACCTTAATTAATTTTCTTTTTCTCGAATTATTGTAGTCAGTCGACCTTCACATTTATGTGCGCATGCATTGGTTGGATGTAATCAAATGGCTAGGAATTTCGTAGGATCACGTTAATTGGTGCACTCCTTTCATTCCTCCATCTTTCAGTTTTGCTCGTCTGGAGTGTTCGATGGCTTATTACTGTAGCAAGGCGGGGTGAGTGGCTAGGCAGGGAGCCGTAGCGCTTAGCTGGAAGCTCCGGGAGAAAGGCAGTGAGTATAAACCAGCCTTTTATGATATTTGTGACATTCATTTCCTTCTCCATGTTTTTGTTTTGATATTTGCCATGAATTCAAGCATTCAATGTGTTTTCTATTGATGTAGCTTTGCGGGACAACCACAAGACGATTAAATAGAGAGCTCGCTCTCTGGTAAATCCATTTCACGAGTTAGAGAAAGGTTGGGGTGAAAGGAAGAAGCAGGAATAAAATAGGAAGGTATCGGGAGGCATATTTTGTCGAGAAGCCCTTTTGAGGTAATTTAAAGCAAGAAAATTATATTTAGGGTTAAATTAAGATCTCAATTTTAAATTTTATGAATTTTTAAGGGATTATGAATTCCAGGTTGTTTAAATTTGGCGGAGAGCTCGAGACGAGCTTGAGGAAACTCGTCATAGGGTTGCTCTATCGGTTCAGTGAAATAATCCTGTGATAACTGTCGGCACTATTTTTGGTGTGGGGTTTGCCCGTAAGAAGCTGTCGGTCATCGGAATTGAAATCCCGTTGCCCGCTTCGGAAGGACATTCTAAAAATTTTAATTTTGAAAGAGATGAAGTCAAACTGACCCCATAATTTTCATAGTTTAGATGAAAGAGTGTTTTACCTCAAATCTTGTATCTATCTCGAAGGATGAACACAAGAATTGAGGGTGAGACTCGATCAAATAAACTAGAGAAAGTT